CAGTAAGGATTGGCACCATCCAAAAGACAAACAACAACAAATGTTGGCGAGGTTGTGGAGAAAGGGGAACCCTCCTACACTGCTGGTGGGAATGTAAATTAGTTCAACTATTGTGGAAAGCAGTATGGAGGTTCCTCAAAAAACTCAAAATAGAAATACCATTTGACCCAGGAATTCCACTTCTAGGAATTTACCCTAAGAACGCAGCAGCCCAGTTTGAAAAAGACAGATGCACCCCTATGTTTATCACAGGACTATTTACAATAGCCAAGAAATGGAAGCAACCTAAGTGTCCATCAGTAGAGGAATGGATAAAGAAGATTGGTACACATACACAATGGAATATTATTCAGCCATAAGAAGAAAACAAATCCTACCATTTGCAACAACATGGATGGAACTAGAGGGAATTATGCTCAGTGGAATAAGCCAGGCAGAGAAAGACAAATACCAAATGATTTCACTCATATGTGGAGTATAAGAACAAAGAAAAACTGAAGGAACAAAACAGCAGCACAATCACAGAACCCAAGAATGCACTAACAGTTACCAAAGGGAAAGGGACTGGGTAGGGTGGGTGAGAAGGGAGGGATAAGAGCGGTAAAAAGAAAGGGGGCATCCCGATTAGCATGTATAATGTGGGGGGGTGCACGGGGAGGGCTGTGCAACACAGAGAAGACAAGGAGTGATTCTACAGCATCTTACTATGCTAATGGACAGTGACTGTAATGGGGTTTGTGGGGGTTCTTGGTGAAGGGGAGAGCTTAGTAAACATAATGTTCTTCATGTAATTGTAGATTAATGATACCAAAAAGAAAGGCTCTCCTACTTTTGAGTGTTTGCAAAGTTCATTCTTCAACTCAACAAACCAGAACCCTGGTATAACTTATAATATCTAAAAATGAATTATCTTAGTAAATAAGTATACACAAAAAACAATTATGATTATGTTTATGCAACTTGTTAAATATTAGGAAATATAGCAACCAACACCATAGTGTTATTAAGGAGGGAGGAAGGAAAGAGGGGAATGGAAAGGGCTCTCACATGCTGCTGCTGATCACGTTTGTTATCATCAACCTGAAGAACCATTAGCATTTTTATGAAAATCCTGGCTTTGCTTTGATTCAGCAATTCTCCTACTCGGAATCCATTCTAAGAAAATAATTATGGGTTCTAAACTTGTGTAATAATGCTTATTATCACATAAAATTGGAAAAAAGAAAATACAATTTAAAAAATAAAACTATCGTTAAAAAAATAAAACCAACCAAACACAATAATTGCACTAAAATAGTCTGGGCAAAAATATGGGATTGTACATCCATATTGTAGAATACTGTGAAGCCATTAAAAATGGCACTATGAAAAAAAACTGGGCTGCGGAAGAATTTTTACTGACACAGGAAGATGTTCACAATGTTATATTTTAAAACATTAACTACAGCATGATCCTAATTCTCCCATGGCCATATGTATACACATTCATACAGACACAGAAAAAGACCAAATTGTGAACAGACTGTCCCCACACTTTCCAAATTCAGTAAGTAGTATGTTTTACTTTTGTAATTAGAAAAGTTTCAAATGGATAAAAAAAATATTTGACTTTAACACCTTCTGAATATAAAGTAGTAGCAATAATTCATTAGAATTCCTCCAGATTTGGAATTAACTGCACTAAGAGTTTCAATTATTTGTGTATCTTTTAAATGAATATGTGAAGATAACTATAAATTGACTAATCAAAGCATTAAGCGAGTAACCATTATGTGATCAGAGTTATGTTAGGAGTCATAGGGGTTACAGAAATACAGTACTTTTGGATAACACTACTGATAATCTTATGGAAATAATAAATGAAAAAAATATATTACTCCTTTAGAAAAATGTTAAAATTCCTGAGACTTTTGTTACATTTTAGGGATTTTCCTCTAAGAATTTTAGGTGTATTTTATAAATTAGTACTCATGGGAAATGGTTCAGATACTAATTTTCATTTAAAAATGTATCAGCCTGAAAAATTAATCTATATCCTGGTACAGTTAATAAAAACTGACTTTTCAGCCAAGCAAATCAAAAGCACTGTGTTATAAAAAGGAACAGAAACTTAGCAAATGCTTACTAAATCAATATTACAATCTACCAAAAAAATTCACTCCTTTATTCAGCAAAAACAAAAACTCACAACTTGAAAGTAAACAAACTACATGGTATTCTGAATTCATTCCATCCTGAAATGTTATTAAATTTAATCTCAATCCTTCTACTACAACCATGTCAATTCTGGAATACATGAATTCTTCACCACATGAATGTAGTTTAATTTCTTTCATACAGTTTAATACAGTTAGATGGTCTGAATGATAGACCAAGGAACTTGGTCACAACTTCTTGAAAAACGACACTGAAATGACATACTTCGAAGACAGAGATAGATCTCAAAGTCTGCAATAGCAAAAGCATTAGAATGGAATAAGTTCAACAGTGGCATAGGGCCTCTTTTCCAGGAACTTCCTCTGCCCTATCCATGCCTCCAAAGCCACATAATTGGTCATAATCCAGTAAAGTTCAATTAGTTCTTGCCAGAAGTTTTAGAACTGGAACTGAGAGTGTCTCCTTGTCTCTCTCTCTCTGGTGACGGATGCAGTAAGATGCAAAATTCATGAACCTTTTCTAGAAAACTTCATGGAGAAAGCTGATTTTCAGTAAGAAAAATGGAGCCAACAGAAACAGAAACTGAATCCTGATGGCTTCAAGTCCCTGATCCTAGCTGTTTTTATCCCCAATACCCATCCAAAAATTCTTCTTTATGGTAATGTTTTCTAGTTTTGTGTCACTTGCAATTAAAAAAATTTTACATAATCAGACATCTCTCATTTTATAGCAGAATAGAAAAGCTAGCTATTTCCTAACCGAATGAGCTAAGATAAACTAGTTACACCCATCTTTTTAGAAAGAGTTTGGTTCCTGGTCTGCAAACAGGACAAGAACGTTCCTTGTCTTTAGGCCCCACAGAGCTGTTCTGTGAATCAAATAAGAGTGTATGTGCAAACACTGTGTAAATCATAAAGAGTGATTTAAATTTTTGGTAATTTTAGTTGTTGAACTCTGATTACAAAAGGGTAGTTTTAAAATTTGAATTTGACATTAGTATTCATTAACTTATTTAATAGATTTATATTGTGATTCCTCTGAAGTTGCTTTCAATTCTGTGTCAGAACTAAAATACACAGTGATAATGGATTCTAGAAGAATTTTATAAAACAAAATCCAGGTATACACCAGGAGGATATGCAAAATGTTCACTATTTCAAAAGAACATCTGTTTAAATTTTTTTGAACTATAAAGCAAATTATACTAATAAAGTATCCTGTGCAGGAAAAAAAGAGCATATAGTATATATACATTAAAACTCGGCAAAAAATACATTTTATTAGTGAGAATTCAGTATAAATTTGATTTTCATCCAATGAAGTAAATTTTTTGAAGCACTATAAGTACCCCATTATCCCAGGTGCAGGGTTTTTTCAGGTGTGAAATATTTTAAAAGAACAAAGAATGAAGGAAATAAAACGCACAATGAGATATCATCTCATACCAAACTGGCTAGTATTAACAAGAAGTAATATGTTGCAAGGATATGGAGAAAAGGGAACCCTTGTACATGATAAGGTTAGAATGTAAATTGGTACAGTCTCTGTAGGAAGCAGTATGGAGGTTTCTCAGAAAACAAAAAATAGAAATATCACACAACCCAGGAATTCCACTTCTGGGAATTTACCCAAAGAAAACAAAATCAATAATCCAAAAAGATATATTCACTCCTATGTTTATTACAGCACTGTTTACAATAGCCAAAATATAGAAGCAACCTAAGGGTCCATCATAAATTGATGGATTAAAAGGATATGGTGTGTACACACACATAGGAATATTACTCAGCCATTAAAAAAGAACCAAATCTTGCCATTTGGACCACTGATGGACCTAGAGGGTATTATGCTAAGTGAAATAAGGCAAATACCATATAATTTCACTTATATGTGAAATCTTAAAAATAAAACAAGCAAAACAGAAATAAACTCATCAACACAGAGAACAACTGGTGGTTGCCACATGGGAAAGGGTTGAGAGGTGGGAGAAATAAGGGGTAAAGAAATTAGTGAGAATGTTTGATTTCTTGATCTGACAGATGGTTACATAAGTGGATACACATGTCAAAATTTACCAAGTTGCACACTAAGATTTGTGCATTTTATTACATGTACCTCAATAAAAAAGAAAAGTAAGTGGGAAAAGAAACCAGAGGAAATACACTGATTAGAAAACACAAGAGAAGTAACGTCTTTGGAATACTACTTACCAATTTTGTTACTGTGCTTGTTCACAAGGAACACTTTAAACTTTGTTTTTATTCTCAAAAAAAGTTCTGGTAAGTAAAAGAGTTAACCACGGATGGTTAACTAAGAATTCTAAAGTCCTCAACAGAAACAACTCACCTCAAACTGAGTCACATCTCTGTAAGAAGGAAAGCTCTCGACTACCAGGTACATTAACTTCTGTGCACTTCTTTCACTTTTTCGAACACAATTAAGAAAAGAGCCTTCAAACTTGTCAAGCAGAATTTTCCCGGTTTCATTGAGAATCCGATACCTCTCTTCAATCAAAGGCATTGGAACATCTGTGTCAGAACGGAGTACATGCCGAACCTGATCCAGGGTTACTGTGGCATAGTATGAAGCACTAGTTATTGGTATTCCTTAGGGAGAAAAAAGTGCAGAGAAACAATCTCAAACTTTTATATACATTAGACGCTTGCTTTTACAAAAAGCAGTTAACATGAAACCGAATGAGTGTTACAGGAATGCACTAAAAGTGGACGAAAAATAAACAGTAGAGCCCTCATTTTTCATTTGCTTGCCTGTGCTTAAACACCCATTTCTATTACACATTATATAGTTTGACTGCATAGAATGTGTTATAATATCTATCCCTTTGTTCTTCGGATGTCATCATAGTGGTGTTCTTTAGAAAACTGACTTTTATACTTATCTGCCGTAAGGATAAATATTAGGATAATTTCCCATTACATACGGGGTATAAGGATTTAATACCACCTTCCCATACTTATACTCTAAGCAGAGGAACTGACAATGAAGAACTCCACGTTCGTCTGAACACATTATTCCATCTCCCAACGCGCTCCTTGGGACCCTCCGGACAAATTGAAACCTCAAAGGCTTGCAGGGTCGGGTCGGACCGGGAGAAGAGGCACCAACCTTCGTCAAGGGCCCTGTTGACCGCGGCGCACAGGGACCAGTATCCACTGTAAGTCGTCCCCCTGTACCCCACTAGGCATTTATGCTCGTCACGCTCCGACCAGAAGGAGAAGTTGAGCGTGTCTACCAGGAACACCCAGTTGACCGCGGCCTCATCGGCCGCCCTGGGGTTCAGCTCGTGAAGGGCCTTCCAGCCCCCCAGGCGCAGCTCCGGCCCCGAGGCTCTGGCGAGCAGCAGGTCCGCCACCTTCCGAACGCCTTCGCCGTCAATGAACACATCCCGACTGTTTTCCGCGATGAATTGTGCGGACGCCCGCGGAGTGAGAGGCTCGTCCATCCCGCCCCTCCACTTTGGGGCTGGGGAACGACGCTTTTGCGGAAGGCTGCCCAAATTCTCTTCCCTCGTTAGGCGGAGCAAGGGCCCGCTGATACTCCCGCTCCCTATCCACAGGAGTCGCTGCCCAAACAGGGGCCCTCCTAGAGCGGCCCTGGGAACCGAGAGCGCGGCCAGGCTCCGGCCCTCTCCCTCCACGCCCTCCGGGATGCGGAACGGTGGAGACTGCGGCGCGGTGCGTCCGCCCAAGGCCGCAGGCACTTCCGGGAGTGTGGCCTCGCCCACTCTCTCCTGGGTGTGCTTTCTGGCCCAGTTTCCGGTTCCGAAGGTTCGGAAAGCGCGTGGAAGTGTCCGGCGCGCGGCGGGCGGAAGTTGTGTACTTCGCGACGTGCGCCATTTTGGCCGCGCTCCCACCCTGTGTTTGCGTAGGTGGGCCTGCGGCTCGCCTGGGTCACGGTGATGCCAATCCCTGGACAGTGTTCCCTCCTTTAACTCCCTCCCGCCCCTCCCCTCTCCTTGGAGGGCGAAGTCCAGGCACGACGCCCTCGACAACGCCTGGCAGCCTGGTCCCTGAGCCACGACGAGCTTTAGAGCAGGCAGTGTCAGTTCGGTACTGGGCGGGTCCGAGCTACGCCCAGACTGCTATCCCACCCCATCCCCCAGGAAGCCTCCTCTTTTGCTAAATTCCTGGCCCATTTGGAAGACGAATGAACGTTTGGGTTTGAAGAAATGGGTAAGAAAACAAGTGTACTAAATCGTTAAATTAACATTGTGTGCCTGGAACTGTGCTAAGTACTGAATCTCATTTAGTTTTGGCTGTGACAAAAGCAGTGATTGTAAACCTCGTTTGGTAAGAGAAGCTGAGTGGTTCAGTGGTTATCCGTGGGTCACAGAATTGTCTGCATGAGATTGAAATCCTTGTTTATCAATCCCCCAGTCAAGGGCAATTCCTACGATCCAACAATTTGGGTCAAGTGGTGACCATATCAATGGCCCTACTGTGGAGACACAATTAGAAGGAATAAGTATCACCTGGCAACCTCAAACTTTAAAAAAAAAATACTTTTTACTAGGATGAAGAGAGAAGCACAGGAGTCAATGTAGCAGTGATCCAGATTGGGCTAGTGATGAAATTTTAGTATAGAGACATTTTTTTTTCTCCTTCGGAGTCTTATATCTCCATGGATAATGTGAAATGTTCACAACTTTGACAATCAACTATTAAAAATAATCATCAGTAGTCATCTCTAGTTATTGACAGTAAAGAATCCTGGAATTTTGGGAGGATTTGGAACTTAAGCTTGACAACTGTGCCTTTAGAGAAGCAGAATATCTTCATCCCTCCAGTTTCTTCTTTTTGGTAAGAAAGGGTACTGTAAAGACTTTACTGTGATTTGCTTTTCCAGAAAAGGTCACCAGTGCATTAATAAGGTTGTTGAATAAATGTAAAATCTGTTGACTTAAGATTTTTCCTTTCTTTCCCAGCAGCTCTAAGTCTTGAGTCAAAGAAACTGATTAGCAAGAAAATCTAGCAATCTACAAAAGAATCCAGGCGGTTAAACAGTTGAGGTAATTTTCTCTCACCGAGGCTTATTAACAGAAAAAAAGTTGACAACGTTCCTACTGTGCTCAGGATATTGAGTTAGACACTAAGAGTAGTATAAACAAAAGTACAACATGCTTCCTTTTCCAGGAAATTATTGTTGAGATAAAGCATAAACTCTGCATGTGTTTTTTTTTTCTTTTTTAAGTATGTCTACAAGATTCTGGGAATACTGAAGATGAGTTTGTTACCTACTCAACATTCTTTTCTTCCTCCTCCCTTGCCAACAGAATCCTGATGTTCAGGAATCCCTCCCCCTTATGCACAGTTGGTGTAGCTCAGCATCCTCCGCTCCAGGGTGGTCTGCTGGTCTAAGGGTAATTATCACCCTCTTGCCAGGGACTGGATTAGGATTGTGCATGTTGCCCATTTCACCTCCATTGAGAGTGTCTCCTTGTCTCTCTCTCTCTGGTGACGGATGCAGTAAGATGCAAAATTCATGAACCTTTTCTAGAAAACTTCATGGAGAAAGCTGATTTTCAGTAAGAAAAATGGAGCCAACAGAAACAGAAACTGAATCCTGATGGCTTCAAGTCCCTGATCCTAGCTGTTTTTATCCCCAATACCCATCCAAAAATTCTTCTTTATGGTAATGTTTTCTAGTTTTGTGTCACTTGCAATTAAAAAAATTTTACATAATCAGACATCTCTCATTTTATAGCAGAATAGAAAAGCTAGCTATTTCCTAACCGAATGAGCTAAGATAAACTAGTTACACCCATCTTTTTAGAAAGAGTTTGGTTCCTGGTCTGCAAACAGGACAAGAACGTTCCTTGTCTTTAGGCCCCACAGAGCTGTTCTGTGAATCAAATAAGAGTGTATGTGCAAACACTGTGTAAATCATAAAGAGTGATTTAAATTTTTGGTAATTTTAGTTGTTGAACTCTGATTACAAAAGGGTAGTTTTAAAATTTGAATTTGACATTAGTATTCATTAACTTATTTAATAGATTTATATTGTGATTCCTCTGAAGTTGCTTTCAATTCTGTGTCAGAACTAAAATACACAGTGATAATGGATTCTAGAAGAATTTTATAAAACAAAATCCAGGTATACACCAGGAGGATATGCAAAATGTTCACTATTTCAAAAGAACATCTGTTTAAATTTTTTTGAACTATAAAGCAAATTATACTAATAAAGTATCCTGTGCAGGAAAAAAAGAGCATATAGTATATATACATTAAAACTCGGCAAAAAATACATTTTATTAGTGAGAATTCAGTATAAATTTGATTTTCATCCAATGAAGTAAATTTTTTGAAGCACTATAAGTACCCCATTATCCCAGGTGCAGGGTTTTTTCAGGTGTGAAATATTTTAAAAGAACAAAGAATGAAGGAAATAAAACGCACAATGAGATATCATCTCATACCAAACTGGCTAGTATTAACAAGAAGTAATATGTTGCAAGGATATGGAGAAAAGGGAACCCTTGTACATGATAAGGTTAGAATGTAAATTGGTACAGTCTCTGTAGGAAGCAGTATGGAGGTTTCTCAGAAAACAAAAAATAGAAATATCACACAACCCAGGAATTCCACTTCTGGGAATTTACCCAAAGAAAACAAAATCAATAATCCAAAAAGATATATTCACTCCTATGTTTATTACAGCACTGTTTACAATAGCCAAAATATAGAAGCAACCTAAGGGTCCATCATAAATTGATGGATTAAAAGGATATGGTGTGTACACACACATAGGAATATTACTCAGCCATTAAAAAAGAACCAAATCTTGCCATTTGGACCACTGATGGACCTAGAGGGTATTATGCTAAGTGAAATAAGGCAAATACCATATAATTTCACTTATATGTGAAATCTTAAAAATAAAACAAGCAAAACAGAAATAAACTCATCAACACAGAGAACAACTGGTGGTTGCCACATGGGAAAGGGTTGAGAGGTGGGAGAAATAAGGGGTAAAGAAATTAGTGAGAATGTTTGATTTCTTGATCTGACAGATGGTTACATAAGTGGATACACATGTCAAAATTTACCAAGTTGCACACTAAGATTTGTGCATTTTATTACATGTACCTCAATAAAAAAGAAAAGTAAGTGGGAAAAGAAACCAGAGGAAATACACTGATTAGAAAACACAAGAGAAGTAACGTCTTTGGAATACTACTTACCAATTTTGTTACTGTGCTTGTTCACAAGGAACACTTTAAACTTTGTTTTTATTCTCAAAAAAAGTTCTGGTAAGTAAAAGAGTTAACCACGGATGGTTAACTAAGAATTCTAAAGTCCTCAACAGAAACAACTCACCTCAAACTGAGTCACATCTCTGTAAGAAGGAAAGCTCTCGACTACCAGGTACATTAACTTCTGTGCACTTCTTTCACTTTTTCGAACACAATTAAGAAAAGAGCCTTCAAACTTGTCAAGCAGAATTTTCCCGGTTTCATTGAGAATCCGATACCTCTCTTCAATCAAAGGCATTGGAACATCTGTGTCAGAACGGAGTACATGCCGAACCTGATCCAGGGTTACTGTGGCATAGTATGAAGCACTAGTTATTGGTATTCCTTAGGGAGAAAAAAGTGCAGAGAAACAATCTCAAACTTTTATATACATTAGACGCTTGCTTTTACAAAAAGCAGTTAACATGAAACCGAATGAGTGTTACAGGAATGCACTAAAAGTGGACGAAAAATAAACAGTAGAGCCCTCATTTTTCATTTGCTTGCCTGTGCTTAAACACCCATTTCTATTACACATTATATAGTTTGACTGCATAGAATGTGTTATAATATCTATCCCTTTGTTCTTCGGATGTCATCATAGTGGTGTTCTTTAGAAAACTGACTTTTATACTTATCTGCCGTAAGGATAAATATTAGGATAATTTCCCATTACATACGGGGTATAAGGATTTAATACCACCTTCCCATACTTATACTCTAAGCAGAGGAACTGACAATGAAGAACTCCACGTTCGTCTGAACACATTATTCCATCTCCCAACGCGCTCCTTGGGACCCTCCGGACAAATTGAAACCTCAAAGGCTTGCAGGGTCGGGTCGGACCGGGAGAAGAGGCACCAACCTTCGTCAAGGGCCCTGTTGACCGCGGCGCACAGGGACCAGTATCCACTGTAAGTCGTCCCCCTGTACCCCACTAGGCATTTATGCTCGTCACGCTCCGACCAGAAGGAGAAGTTGAGCGTGTCTACCAGGAACACCCAGTTGACCGCGGCCTCATCGGCCGCCCTGGGGTTCAGCTCGTGAAGGGCCTTCCAGCCCCCCAGGCGCAGCTCCGGCCCCGAGGCTCTGGCGAGCAGCAGGTCCGCCACCTTCCGAACGCCTTCGCCGTCAATGAACACATCCCGACTGTTTTCCGCGATGAATTGTGCGGACGCCCGCGGAGTGAGAGGCTCGTCCATCCCGCCCCTCCACTTTGGGGCTGGGGAACGACGCTTTTGCGGAAGGCTGCCCAAATTCTCTTCCCTCGTTAGGCGGAGCAAGGGCCCGCTGATACTCCCGCTCCCTATCCACAGGAGTCGCTGCCCAAACAGGGGCCCTCCTAGAGCGGCCCTGGGAACCGAGAGCGCGGCCAGGCTCCGGCCCTCTCCCTCCACGCCCTCCGGGATGCGGAACGGTGGAGACTGCGGCGCGGTGCGTCCGCCCAAGGCCGCAGGCACTTCCGGGAGTGTGGCCTCGCCCACTCTCTCCTGGGTGTGCTTTCTGGCCCAGTTTCCGGTTCCGAAGGTTCGGAAAGCGCGTGGAAGTGTCCGGCGCGCGGCGGGCGGAAGTTGTGTACTTCGCGACGTGCGCCATTTTGGCCGCGCTCCCACCCTGTGTTTGCGTAGGTGGGCCTGCGGCTCGCCTGGGTCACGGTGATGCCAATCCCTGGACAGTGTTCCCTCCTTTAACTCCCTCCCGCCCCTCCCCTCTCCTTGGAGGGCGAAGTCCAGGCACGACGCCCTCGACAACGCCTGGCAGCCTGGTCCCTGAGCCACGACGAGCTTTAGAGCAGGCAGTGTCAGTTCGGTACTGGGCGGGTCCGAGCTACGCCCAGACTGCTATCCCACCCCATCCCCCAGGAAGCCTCCTCTTTTGCTAAATTCCTGGCCCATTTGGAAGACGAATGAACGTTTGGGTTTGAAGAAATGGGTAAGAAAACAAGTGTACTAAATCGTTAAATTAACATTGTGTGCCTGGAACTGTGCTAAGTACTGAATCTCATTTAGTTTTGGCTGTGACAAAAGCAGTGATTGTAAACCTCGTTTGGTAAGAGAAGCTGAGTGGTTCAGTGGTTATCCGTGGGTCACAGAATTGTCTGCATGAGATTGAAATCCTTGTTTATCAATCCCCCAGTCAAGGGCAATTCCTACGATCCAACAATTTGGGTCAAGTGGTGACCATATCAATGGCCCTACTGTGGAGACACAATTAGAAGGAATAAGTATCACCTGGCAACCTCAAACTTTAAAAAAAAAATACTTTTTACTAGGATGAAGAGAGAAGCACAGGAGTCAATGTAGCAGTGATCCAGATTGGGCTAGTGATGAAATTTTAGTATAGAGACATTTTTTTTTCTCCTTCGGAGTCTTATATCTCCATGGATAATGTGAAATGTTCACAACTTTGACAATCAACTATTAAAAATAATCATCAGTAGTCATCTCTAGTTATTGACAGTAAAGAATCCTGGAATTTTGGGAGGATTTGGAACTTAAGCTTGACAACTGTGCCTTTAGAGAAGCAGAATATCTTCATCCCTCCAGTTTCTTCTTTTTGGTAAGAAAGGGTACTGTAAAGACTTTACTGTGATTTGCTTTTCCAGAAAAGGTCACCAGTGCATTAATAAGGTTGTTGAATAAATGTAAAATCTGTTGACTTAAGATTTTTCCTTTCTTTCCCAGCAGCTCTAAGTCTTGAGTCAAAGAAACTGATTAGCAAGAAAATCTAGCAATCTACAAAAGAATCCAGGCGGTTAAACAGTTGAGGTAATTTTCTCTCACCGAGGCTTATTAACAGAAAAAAAGTTGACAACGTTCCTACTGTGCTCAGGATATTGAGTTAGACACTAAGAGTAGTATAAACAAAAGTACAACATGCTTCCTTTTCCAGGAAATTATTGTTGAGATAAAGCATAAACTCTGCATGTGTTTTTTTTTTCTTTTTTAAGTATGTCTACAAGATTCTGGGAATACTGAAGATGAGTTTGTTACCTACTCAACATTCTTTTCTTCCTCCTCCCTTGCCAACAGAATCCTGATGTTCAGGAATCCCTCCCCCTTATGCACAGTTGGTGTAGCTCAGCATCCTCCGCTCCAGGGTGGTCTGCTGGTCTAAGGGTAATTATCACCCTCTTGCCAGGGACTGGATTAGGATTGTGCATGTTGCCCATTTCACCTCCATGAGTTGCAACAATAGGTTGGCAGGATGCTTCCAGGAAAGCTTTTCCAGGAGAACTTTCAGAAGTAATTCACACCTACTTTGGACATGTTTGAACTTGGATATGAGGCTGGAAATTGGTACAGTCCTTTTGACAGCAACCTGACTATGAAGGGAGGTAAAGTATGGAGCTGAAATAATGGGATTACATCAACTCAAATCCATCCTACTTATGGATCTCCAGTTGAGTTAATAAACTTCCTTACAGTTTAAAGCAGTTTTGAGTTGGATTTTCTATTACTTGCTGTGAAACTTCCTATCGTACATAATAGGAAATACAGACATGGTATCTGAAATCTTACGATCTAGTGGGGAATGCAGACACTCAAATGTCTGGGTAGGACTGTACTTCAAGCAACAGAAAACCAGACTAAAGTGATGAAATAAGCAGGGCACTGTTTTTCCCATGCAGTAAGTCCAGAGGTAGGCACTCCAGGGCTGGTGTGGCTATTTGAGAATGTCAGTGAGGAACTAGGCTCCTTGCTTTGGCTCACTATCCCTAGCATGTGGCTTTTGTCTATATGGTTGGTAGGTGGCTCTGCCCTTACAGACATGTGCCACAGAAAGAAAGATGAAAATAAAAGGGGCAAAGGAACATGCTAGGTGATATATTTCTTTTGAAAAACTGCCAGAAGTTCTACCCTGTAGGCACAGGCTTTTGAAGAGAATAATCTAGATGACCTTTAAATAGTCCTTAAACTTGCATTTTAAAAGTTAACAGAGGAGGGAGGCAGGAGCAATGATATGTCCTCACCACTTTTTTTGTTTTTTGTTTTTAAGTGTATCTACAAGATTCTGGGAATACAGGAGATGAGTTCATTACGTACACAACATGCTTTTCCTTCTCCTCCCTTGCTAGATTAGATTATTCCAGTCATCAAAAGAGCCCTCATTCTGAAGGGCTAAATAAATGTCAAGCATTGGCAACAATAATTGCTACATCTACTATTTTCTATCCTTATAGGCTATAGCATATATTTAAACAGTCGGTTAAAAGGTATTCTTGAAGAAACATTGCAAAAGTTAGATGCATGGATGGACAGCAGACACTTAGAGAGGAGGCTGTAATTTCTCATATGCAGAAGGAGGAAAGCAGAGAAGTAAAATGGAATTTGTGAAGATAGAGCATCTCAATTATTTTTCATTTCCCCCAACTTTCCCACAGTGATCAATAGACTAAAGCCCCAAGAAGGCTTTGCAGAATATATAGTTTACTACTGTGTAATTTTTCTGTCCCTTTTCTTCTTTATCTGTCTACCTACCTACCTACCTATCTTACCTATCTACTGATCAATCACATTTAAAATTGACCACTTCCTTGAAATTCATTCTTGGTTTCTAGGGCATTATATTATCCTAGTTTTCTTAGGGTCATTGGAGGATTTTTCTCTTACTATTCTCTTCTTGCATATAGTGTCCCATCTTACAGGCTATGGCTTAGGGACAGAATGGACTCTTTCTAGTGAAAACTCTGACTCTTATATACTTCAGTTGGTTTTAAAATACTTAGTTATAATGCAATAAATGTACTTCCATTATACACATCATTATTACTATAGTTCAAAGCCAAGTAGAATTTTTTGAACCATTCTTTGCTTTTAACTAGTGAAATTAATGTTTCCTACTTAGGAGGAAGAACTAAGTATTTTTAAAACAGTACAGAGCTTCCAAGTTAGTGAACATGTAGAGATTCAGGGAGAGTGACATGCTTAAAGCTGGAAGCTCTGTGCCCTTTCTACAAGACCTTGTCCTACATGTCTCTTCCATCTGGATGTTCCTGAGTTATATCCTTTTATAATAAGCTGGAAATTCGTTTTCTTTGCTGTCTAAAAAAACATAACAAAGTTCTGCAGTAAGTCGCAGTTGTTGAGAAGTTTGCTGAATTCCAGTGATGTTCCCTTACTAGATTATACACAAGACTTAAATGTCATCAAAGGAGTGGCTTGAATGATACTAGTAATTATGAGTTCCTTCCTGACAAATTCTCTTCACTACAATCCAAACTTGTTGTGTGCACTGCTTTACAAATGAGATCTCTGAACAAGTTTGAACTCACCCTTCATTTCAGGATAAAATGCAAAATACTGATCTGGTAATCACCTTCTTTAACTCAAGGTTACCATCAAAGGGTTGTTACACTGACGAAAGACAGATTGAAGAAATTTCCAGAACTGAAATCCAAATATGTGGAAGAGCAGCAGCAGACCTTCAAGTTATTTTATTTTGGGGAACAGAAGTAGACAGTTTGCCTGGTGTATCTTCTATTGAAGAGGATCACCCAAGGTGTTTCCCTTGCACACTCTGATTTGGAGAATTGGTGCCAGTTGGCAATACAGCACTCTGCTTAGATTGTAATGCAGAAAGAAGTGGGGATACAGATTATACAATTATAAATATATAAGCCTGCTTTTTAAAAAAGTACAAAAATAAACATACAAAGAAATATTTACCTTGAACAGAACCTGAGGCAGGGGTTCAGCATCCAAAGAATTTTCTTCCCATATACATACTTTCAGAAATACTCCTAACAGTGCAGTTATTCCTCATAAAACACAAAATTCTCACAGCTTTTTCAGGAGATAAGGCAATGTCTTATTACTTAGTGTATCAAAATCTAAGTCAAGGATGTCCGAGTGATGTAAATTTCTGCTCTAGCTCCAGCTCATCTGTTGTAGATTAAGTCCCAAGCAGCAGGGCCTGAGCTGGAGATGCTTGTGCAAGGGATTCACTGGAAAAACACTCGGGTGAAAGGGCATGAGAGAAGCGGTATAGGCAGTAATTAGTCAAGCCATGATTTGGTCTCAGCTGGGGATTGGTGTCAGCCTGATCCGAGTTCTGGAGTCTCAACTGTACACCGAATTTGTGCCAGTTTGAGACACAAGTATGAATAAAATGATCTAGCTAAAAAGGCTGCCTGCCTGATCTGCCAAATGAAGCCTAACCCAAATGAGAATTTACGGTTTAACAGTATTAAGTCTTACCTCTCCTGCTTTTATGAGGATTTAGAGAGCTCCCAAATTCTTATATGCCCTCTTTCTCATAAGTTCCCATTCCCATTGATGGTAGACAAAAAATACTTTCCAAGTCAGTTGGAGTCTTCCAGTTTTAAATGGTCTAATTTAAGGGAAATACTTGTTTAGTTACCTTGAAGGTAAGACCCTTTATTAGAGCTGTTTTTTTTTTCTCTAAAAATTCTGTTGTTCACCTCCACCTTTCCAAGACCTTCCAAGGTCTAGATGGAAAGAGTTTTAGTTGTTCTCATAATGGGAGGAATAGGCCTTTGTCAACAAGCTGTCTCTGACCTCCAGTTGAGGTGTAGTCTGTCTGGTATCTGAATTTTGGCTCCTAGTCTCCCGTCACCACTGAATGACCAAACTAGTGAGTGGTGGTCTAGTTTCTCGGCACTCAGCCCAGTGGTCTTCCTTGACTAACTTGATCTCACTTTTTTCACTGGCATTGACAATCCTGAGATTCTGCTGTATCTCCATCCAGCCCTTTTGGACTGTCTACATTACACTTCCTGCCATGCAGTAACCATCCCATGCACCATGGTAATCCCATGGCAAGCCCCTCAGTACTCAACTGGTCTCACTCTTAAGCAATATGGGAATGAAAGGGAATTCTGTGGTATGTGTATGTGTAAAGTCTCAGGGTCTATGCCAAAATATATGCTTCAATTTCTGCTGTTTTTACCAGCCTATGTTATAGCAACACTTTGCAGGATTCCAAATAGAAGGCTTCTTTGCTTTTCCCTTCCTATTCAACTTATCTGGAGTTCCTGCTCATAATTTGCCCTGCCTCAGGCTGAACCCTAAGGTCTGTGGGACCTAGCTGGCACCTTCTATTCTGCTGTCAAATCTCCTTACTATCACAATGACTTCTCTGTTTTGGTCTGATAAGCAGCTGTCATAATGCTTTCACTCCCCGACTCCTCTCCTGCAGACTATTTGTTCTAGGTGAATCCGTCCTTCCCTTCCAGAGCCTGTTCTTAACGGTAGGAAGGCTTCAGGAAAAAAGGGCCAAGGGGAATTGTATGTCCAAAAGGGGAAAATATTTCTCAAATGATTTTGAAGGTGTGAGGGTTTGGTGGGTGCACCTTTTATTTCCTTCACAATTACAGATCAAGGGGTTACAGATGTTGAGTTTGGGGGAGAGCAGAGAGAAATGGGGTGGAGAGCTTTTGAGTGGGAAAACAAGAAATGCTAATGGACTCTGGACAAAAAAATTATGTGAATACTAGGAAGGTTTGAGATGACAAGGTAACTGGTGTACCAGTTACCCCCAACCCAGTTAGTGGTGTCTGTTGCTCAGTTTACAAACAGGGGAACCTACTCAACACGTATTTGCATCTTATTTCTAATGTGTGCTTACACATTCAGCCAGCTCCACTCAGCAATACAATTGCCTGCATGTACTTAAAACCAAATCATCCTTAATTTTCCAGTTATTCCTTCTATTTTTCCCCAGGTCAGATTTCTTCCCTGACTAGAAATGCTGAGAGGCCTTGTTGGACAAATGATGTCCATCTATGTACACAAGCCCTTATCTTTTTCATCTGCTAAGAGCAAGGGACAGAGTTCCAGGTCAATATACACTGGCATTTTATTTTAGCTCTAGTTGTTTCAAGTTAACATGCTTGTGAATATGTACACATATATGTACTCACATATGTTCACCATACAGTACCCAGGTCTTTTGTCCTCATTACTTCTATTTTCTCCCCAAACTGACCCTTTTTGCTCATCACTGCACTCTTAGGGCCTTCCACTTCCCTGTACACAGAGGGTACTAAGTCTGTATTGGACGAGTTCATGAAAAGGTATGGGAACACACTTCCAGTTCTTAGTGCTCTATGAATTGGACAATTTGTTAAATAGATTCCTAGCACTGCTCTAGATTATGATTCGGTGGAGCTGAAGTGTGGTCCAGAATTTTCATGTTTAATCAGTGTTGTTGATTATTAAAGTGGTTCTATGAAGTTTGAGAAACATTGCAATGTTGCTTTCCAAGTCAGTGCTGCCAGTGGAGAAATTAGGTCAGTTTCACCTCAAACTTGCCAGCAATGGGCAAATCTTCATTATAAACAAGAATATTTGACTTGATTTGTATTTAGCCAAAGATTGAATCTCTACCCACTAAAAATTTTGATGGCATTTAAAGCTTTATAAACTTAAAAAAAAAAATCAAACTGATTTTATGGACCTTATCTCATTG